GGCTCATCAAACCCAGCTTACCTGTTAAGAAGAATACTAACTTCCCTGTTTCTGTCAGAGACCATCAGAGGCCTACAGCCATCAGTCTCTCCCCATCTGATCTGTAAATACCTCTTTTATCTCATTCTCCCTAGGGCCTCTAATTACACTTTTTTCATAAAAGTTTCTCTGAAATGAATCGCATTGTTTCAGAAATAATGAAACATAAATAGTGTTCTGCCTAAATTAATACGTTTTTATATCTTTAAAAAATTCTAACAGCTTCCTTTTACCTTTTTCCTATCTAATCTAGTGTGGGGCCACTGCTCAACAACTCAGGACAGCTGGTTACCAGCACTCAGGAGAAAACTGAACTCCTGAAAGACTACTTTGCTTTGGTATTTCACCAGGCCAAGGGGAAAATCATGCCAGACAGGGTACAAAATGAGCAGGGCAGGAATGACTGCCTCCCTACTATTGCCATAGAACTGATGTGTGATCTATAAAAGAAATTATATATATATGAGTCAGCAGGAGTGGATGAACTCCATCCAAGAGTGCTAAAGAAGCTGGCCAAAGTCATCACGGAGCCCCTGGCAAAACCCTTCCTCAACTTGTGGCGCTCCGGAGTGGTCCCTGAGGACTGGAAGAGGGCCAGTGTTGTTCCCATCTTCAAGATGGGGAAGAGAGAAGACCCAGGTAACTATAGGCCAATTAGCCTAACTTCTATCCCAGGGAAAATCCTGGAAAAATTCATTAAGGAGTCTATCTGCAATAGGCTTGCAGAAGGTAGGAATCTGAATGACAGCCAGCATGGTTTCACTGCGGACAGGTCTTGTCTTACCAACCTCATCTAATTTTATGATCGGGTAACTTGCCACCTGGATAAGAGAGAAGAGGTTTATGTTGTACCTTGACTTCCAAAAAGCCTTTGATCTGATATCCCACAATGTTCTTACAAGAAAATTGCAGGATTGTGGGCTTAACTGCGACACAGTTAGGTGGGTAGGAAGCTGGCTGCAAAGCAGGACTCAGAGAGTCCTAATGAACGGATCTGTGTTGTCCTGGCGAGAAGTGGGCAGCAATGTTCCACAGGGATTGGTGTTTGGTCCAGTACTTTTCAACATCTTTATCAATGATTTGGATGTGGGGGTGAAGAGCTCACTGGTCAAGTTCATGGATGACACCAAATTATAGGGAAGCGTGGTCACGCTTGAAGATAGGCTACCGATACAGGTGGATCTAGGTAGGCTGGCAAGTTGGGCAAGTCAGAACCAGATGAAGTTCAACATTGAGAAATGTAAAGTGTTCCACCTGAGGACAAACAACCCCCTACACACCTACAGGCTTGGCAGCACCAAACTGACCAGCATCAAGAACGAAACAGACTTGGGGCAATAATAGACCACTGTATGAATATGAACCAGCAGCGCAACACTGTTGCCAGCAGGACCAATAATACTGTGGCATGCATCAATCAGTGCATCTCTAGCAAAACCAAGGAAGTGATTCTTTTGCTCTACTCAGCATTGGTGAGACGGCAGCTGGAGTACTGCGTCCAGTTCTGGGCACCACATTTTAACAAGGACATGGAAAAGCTTGAGAGAGTCCAGAGAAGAGCCACCTGTATGATCAGAGACTTTCACAGCAAGCCATACGAGGAAAGGCTGGAGGACCTGGGACTCTTCAGCCTGAAAAAGAGAAGGCTGAGAGACGACTTGGTAGCAGCTTACCGCTACATTAGGGGAGTACATCAAGGGCTCGGTGAACAACTGTTCACCAGGGCACTCTTGAGGAGGAACAGGAGTAATGGCCACAAATTCCTGGAAAATCGTTTCAGGCTCAACATTAGGAAAAACTTCTTCATAGTTAGTGTCCAGACTGTAGAACGGGCTCCTGCCAGAGGTGGTGCAATCACATACCCTGGAAATCTTCAAGAGGAGACTAGACAGTCACCTTGCTGAGGTCACCTGACCCCAGCTGTCTTTCCTGCCTGATGCAGGGGGCTGGACCTGCTGATCTTCCGAGGTTCCTTCTAGCCTCCTACAATCTATTAATCTATGAACCGTTAGTAGGATAAACCTTAGACAAATCCCACAGACCTTATTCCAACTCTAAGGAAAATTAATGGTCTAGGAGTCTATTTGATCCATATGCTTTGGAAGCAGTTAGAATTATAGGTCCAAAATCTCAATTTTAATTCTTCACCAGAGTTTATGGTCTGGAGCTTATTTTTGCTACAATTAAAATCTAACAAACTTAATTTGTTGCATTTTAGTTAAATGAGATTGTTTCAAATTAAATGATGCCTTTATAGCAATTTACTACAGAACAATTAGTAAGGCTGATGCTATGATTAAAGATGTTAATATGCATAATGACAGTACAAAAGCCTTAACTAGAACATTTATTAAAGTGGTAATGGAGTGTCAATTAAAAGAAAAAAAAAGAAAAAGTAAGCAAACCTTGATTTCAGTTCTCCATGTGAATATGAAGACCATGCAATGCTGGATTTCTCCCAATGCCTCTTAGAACCAGTTACTTCCATTCTAATGCTTTTGGTTTCTGAGAGTTTCTTATCTAAAAATATGTAACATTAAAAGTTACCATCATTTATATTCAACATATTTTGTATTACGTGATTTTTTTAAATTATTGGGAGCTATTTTATTTTGCTATAAGACAATTAGGAAGAACAGCATTTCTGAAAACATTTCTTTGAAAACATACATATTCTCTACTTACAGATTCCCAACAAGAACCTTATTGGAGCTTTTTTATTAATATGCAAGTTACAAAAACAAGCTTTTAAAAGCAGTTAGTTATACAAACAGCTTTTACGTGTTATTACTTGACAGATCTTTGCTAAACCAAAAACTGGTTGATGGATAAATGGATAAGTGCATTTTTCAATTTGCAATAAATTAGGATATGAAGACATAGAGACCCAGCGCTAGCTGTTTACATTCAGTGCTATAAAAATGCTTAGATTTATACATTAAAAAACAAAAATATATCAGGGTCATAGCAGAAAAAAAAGAAGCATAAATACCTTCAGCAACAGAGGAATACCACATTTCTCCTTAATGTATTCATTAGTATGCCTATTTCCATAATTAAAAATGTAACTTAGCAAATGTCAAAAAATTCTTTACCTATTAATACTTGGCTGTTTTTCTTCTCCTTTATTGTACTGGGAGAGTCACTTTCTGAAGCAGATTCTCTTTCAAGCATTTTTAGCTCTTCAACTTGGCTTTTCTCTTGCTCTATAGCATCAGCGTTTCTGTTTAGTTCAGAATACTTACAGTCTGAACTAACACAGTTTAGTTCAAAATCTCTACAATCACTGTTAGTTTCTTCCGTCTCCTTTTGTTCAACCACCTTACTCTTGAGACATTTGGCAAACCTTTGTTCTTTAGAAAAGCCATTCAATTCTTGGAAAGGAAAAGACTCCTGTCCCTCTCTGGGATGAAGACTTCTAGTCTTATTCAGATAATTCAAATAAAAATAATATTTATCCAAAACACCTATATCACAGTCTGAATTTAATAGTGGTTCATCCTCCCAGCAGAACTCTTTGCCATCATCACTATTTTTGCTTGTTTTGGGGGATACTTCTGAGCTGCTTTCCAAGACTTGTTCAGATTTGATGACTGGATTGAAAAAACACCTGTTCTGTTCATTCATCACATTACCACGGGTCATCTTGCATTTAGGTTCCATATTGTCTTCCCTGGACTGTATTAGTCCAGTTAACAAAGCACAGTCACATCTGTTGCAACAGTTTACATGTGGATAATTGAGGCTTGCACAATCAGGGCAAACTTTAAAATATGGAGGGGTTTCAGGAGAATTGGCTAATAAATTCAGAAAATGATTACTATTTTGCATGGCCTGATCCTTCCTAGAGAGTTTTAGCTCTATTTTTGTTTGTTCTCTCTTGCAGGCCATATCTGTATTCTTTACAGAACTTGCTCCACTGAAAATACTGTTTGTTTGTTCTTCTCCAACATGTTTTCTCACCTCAAAAGTCCTGTCACCCCCTTCTTCATGCTCGGATGTTGGCTGATCTCTCTGATCCCTCTCTCTCTTTAAAAATGTAAAATTTAACATGAGCTCTTCAAGGTCATCTTTTCTTTTCTGAGACTCAGTAGAGGAGAGGTTGCAACTCTTTCCAGCCTGTTCCTGGAAATGATCTGTAATAACCTTGCTTTCTTTGAAGTTTTCAGCCTTTAAAACCAAGATGAAATCCTTCTGGTTATCCCTTTCTTGATTCTTTAACACACACTTTTCTCCTTTAGTCCATTTTCCACTGCTGTCATTCTTCCTCCTCAGGAAGGTATTACTGCCTTCCAGCACATCCGAACCCAAATGTTTAATTTTTTCTCCTTTGGGTGGAAGAATACTGCATGTAGGGTTTTTGTGTCCCTCGATCTCAGCATAACACTTACTTGGTTCCCTTGTCTTCACAATTCTGTCTGTACATTCCTCATCTGAACTATCACTTAGAGGCAGCCAAAAGCAAGTGGCAGTATTTTCATGAAGAACATTTACAGTTTTACTTGAACAACTGTCAAAAGGATGTGGCTGGATACAAAGTATCTCTGATGACATAGCTGTCTTGCTATTATTTTGAAAATATTTGTCTTTGCTGTTGTGGGTTTGGTATGCAACTGCAAGTTGGCCAGACTGGGAGATCGCAGGATCTCTTCTTGCCCTCATATCCATGGTTATTGTCTCTATTTCCCTGCTAATACAAATGTTAGAGTAACATTTGTTTTCAGTGGATAATGTGCTTTCTCTTAATAAATCAGGAGACGTGCATTCTTCTGCTCCTTCCAAGTTATCTACGTGCTCTGAAACTGCATGAAGGCTAGAGCTTTTGCAAGTATTACCATGGGCACTGAAGTCAATACCATCTCCCAGCTCAAAGAAAAAACTATCGGAGCTACTAGTTTCTTTCCTCTTGCTATCTGGCACTATTTCAATTTCTTTGCCATGAGAAAAGATAAGTCCCTGGGATGACCGTGAATTTTTCAGTGCATTATCCTCTTCATGAGTGTTACTAAGGAACAGTTGTGCCCAGCTCACAACATGTTTGAGTTTTTGTGTCTCTGGCACAGACACATCCTCCAGCAGTCTGTGATCCAATTCTAAAATGCAGTTCTGACCCATACATTTTCTCTGCATTTCTGGCTCTGTGATAGTTGCTTGTTGTTCTTCTTGACATATTCCAGAGGATTTCTGAATTAGAAGTTTCTTTCCATTTGTTGCATCATTAAGTTGCTGAGGGCTATTTGATGGGGAAGTCTGATCTTTTTCTTTAATGTTCACAACAGAGTGCAAACCTTCTGCACCAGAAGATTTTGAACTTGGTGTATTGCCAGTACTACTACAGACAGTCTTTGTCCTTCCATAGTAAGCTAAGCGCTTGGCTCGTAAGACCTTGAGATCCCGTGTATGAGGGGTATCGGTTTCATGAATTATTTCAGCTTGGAGTCTTTCAGAAGTTTTGTCAAATAAATCTTCCATCTGCAGAAACAAAAACCACACAAACAGATACAATTATTATAGATGAACTGAGATGTTTCATGAACATAGTCAACGTAGTATTACTAGAATGAAGAAATTCTAAGCCAAAAAGGTAAACTGTGCATCTCCCTTTAGATAATCTACATGTAAAATAAGATGTGATTATTTTATCATTCTGAGACCAAAAATACAATCTTGCACCCCATGAAGATAATGAAAACCCCCATTAACTTTAACACCCATACTGAAAGCCAGCAGAATAATCATGTGCCCAACTTCAAGTGTGAATACAGCCAGTAATTTCAATGGTACAGTTGACCAGCTGAAAATTAAACACATATCAAAGTACCCAGATATACTGAGGCTCCTATACTGCCCGTTTAGAGTTGAAAGAGCTATTTACTATAAGGTTAGACAGCTACTTTAAGTGGAAAATGATCTGCTAAAGCAGTGGAGGGCCAATCCTTTGTCAGGTGTGCCACAAATTAGCCCTGAACCCTACCTGAGTGCCTCTCCAGTCCTTTTCCCCAGTCTGACCTGCTGCTCTGTTTTCTGCTCCCTGCCTACCCTATCTGCTACCATGCAGCCTGTCCCCTTCCCTATCTTCCACATGCCACCCGCAGAGGCTGCTGCCTGTGCCATCAAAATACTCATCCATGTACTAGCTGGGGTTAAGAGGAAGGAATATGTGAATATAAATTATAAAACCTATGAGATTAAAAATAAATTTAGCACCATCATAATATTCAAGGTATTGACATACAGCATTGTGAGGCCAGAAGGAAATGCAATTAATTGACTACAGTTCTACCTTTATTACACCTGTGGCTGTGGTTGTGCTAACTGTGAAGATATACAAGAAGCAAATAATTCAGCCTGCTTTTTAGCTACCCTTGTGGGATGGAAGGGAAAAAATCTTTACTTGAAAACTGAATAGTTGCATCATGATCAATTTGAAAGACAGACTGGAACTCACAACATCATTTTGCAGAGAAGAAACACAACATAAGGTATTAAATTACAATGACATTAACCCCAACAAATCAGTTGTGAGAGTTAAACCAAAACCTGTCCTCAGGTTATGGATTGGTTGAATAAGCCTTGACAATGACTTGTATTTTTCATCTCTTCTTCCACTGGATGGTCTGTCCAAGGAAGAGAGAAACACACAACTTCAGATACTATTGCTGGCATGAAGAAACTAGCAAGCCACTATTCTCCTGCACAGTCTTCACTTTTACATGGAGTTATTTCATTTTTCATTTGTTCTGACACAGGAATTGTGTATGTGGTGTCAGACCCAATTAGGTAAATTCAAGCATTCTGGATATTTATTGTGGTCCAATTGTCACAACAGGCAATCTTGAGGTCTTAGGTCATGCTACAAAGTTCTGTAATCAAATATCTTTGCTTTTGTAAAATAATAAGGCTAATCATGGATCAGATGTTCCTAAAAAATACAGAAACCATGTTAATAGATTCTGATGTTAACCTGCCAGCTGAGGTAATAAATGAAAGACTCAAAATCAGCAAAAATATTCTTTTATAAAAATATCTAATGGCCCGATTAACACATTCTCTCTATATGTATATTCTTTTCTTGGCCATTCCAACGAAGATGTTGATTAACTGATTATTAATATTCCAACAAAGAACTGAAAACTAATCTTTATGATTCCTTGATCCAGAACCACAAGTACTTTTGTCTTAGAATAAATTATGTTTTTAATTAAATAACTGAAGCTTTTTCAGGCCCAACTTAATCTCAAATTCCTCACACCATTGTAGAATAATAGAATCACAAAGAAGTAGGTGTTAGAAGGGACCACCATAGGTCATTCAGTCAAAACCCCTGCCTGAGGCAGGATCATCCTTATCCAAGCCATCCAATACAAATTCAAGCTAGGTGCCCTATGTTTCATCTCCCCGCAGAACCACTAGTAACCCCTCAAACTCCTTAACAGAGCAGGCATAACCTTTGCCAGAATTTCAACTTTATGAGCATTCCAGATTTATAGATTACCTCCTTAGGGACATGTGATAGTGGAAGCAGACAGACAAACAATCCTTGAAGGTTTTCAATTACCAATCACTCATTACCTTAGATGGCACAAGAAACAGAGAGCTAGACAAAAGAAATCCTGTATCCATTCCCCTGATCCATAACCTCACTACAAGTATTCTTTGAACCTCATCAGAGTCCTCAAAGGAGTCTATATTCCAAGCTTCTACACATGACTTCTCTTCTGAATCGTGGAATCTCACTCTTTTCGGCAATGTTTCTTTCTTTGTTGGCAGGTCCAAGGATAATAAAGGAATCTTTTACTATGAAATCATGTCCCTCTATTCCCTTATCATCTCTAAGCTTCCCCTCTAGATGAGTAGTCCCTTCCTTCCTCATGCTCTCTGCCAACATATTAGCTTTGTTCTCCTGGTTAGGAATTTTCTATCCTCTAAACCCCAGTCTCCAGCAGAAAAGATGGAGAAAACTGGTTTAGTGAGAAGACAGTTACTCCTCATTTTTTCAAGGGAAGACCTGTTCAGATGCCAATGGTCAGTCAACCTATTCATGGTTAGCACCATTCCCCTTTTCTTAGCAAGAAGCATCACCCATTAAAAGCAGCCATAAGACATAATAAAGATAACTCATAAAGTCAAATGAAAAGAAATGACCAAGTTGTACATAGACAAGTTAGAATTCCTAAGTTGTACATAGATTCCTCATATTATGCTAAGTGCATTGTTGTTGCATCAGATTCAACCCTTGAGAAAATTATGTTGTCATATACTTCTCTAAAATAGACCACAGTCTACAATTGCCACCTACAGGCTAAGTTACAGGTGTGTTCTAACAGTACAGTATGAAAGAGAGGTTTACTTCATTTCAATAACAACAGACTAGCTAAGTGGAACTGTGTTATGAGGACATGACATAAGCCAAAAAACAAGGTAAATTATAAGTAACAGAGAGACAGTAAGAGGTTAGAGGATGTGAAAGCAGGCAACAGAGGAAGGACAGATGAGAGAAAAAAGAAAAAGACAATTCAGGGTGTGTCTACACATGCAATTAATGCTATTTGGATTTACTGTGTAGTAAATGTATTACCTGCATATGCAGGTAGTAAATTTACTGTGCAGTAGACTAATTTACCATGTAGTGACCACCTGCACATGTAGATGGTGATGCTTTACTGCACAGTAGATTAGTCTACTGCACAGTAAAGTGTCTCATGTAGATGCAGTGTAAGAATTCTTGTTTCTCTGTAAATCTGATGACATTTGACATAGTCAAAATAAAAGTAATATTTACCACTAATTTAAAACAGTGAGTAAAAATCATAATGTAGTAAAACAAAATCCACACTGTTGTCTCTGACTTCAACAGGGATTCCCACTTACAGGCAGCCTACTGTCCTCACATTTCTTACATCTCCATAGTAGCCCTCTTGTTGCCCAATCATATGACAATTCTGGATAGGTTACACATTCCTATGTTCTATGGGCTAGTTTTCCTTTTACTGCTTTTACCAACACTTATTTCTGATATCTTCCCACATTAAAAATAATGTTTTGCACTTTTACAGTACTTTCCAATGAAAGATATCCATGACTTTATAAACACTACCTGTGGTTTAAGCAAAAGCTCACTACAAAACTGGCACAGATAGGACCAGAAACACACCTCTCTTATAATTTTGCTGGAAAGCAATTTATGCAAAAAAAGCATAAAACAAATCATTAGCATTTACACATAATTTATAAGTAATAAATGTACAGAAACAATAATCGGACATGTAGAAGCCAAGTTCAATTGCAAGAAAATACTTAATTCAGAAGAGAGTGCCACAACACCTAACCTAGTTCTTCCAATAATCAGTCTTCTGGCCTTCAAACAAAGCTTCCCAAAGTGCTTTTACCCACATAGTGCTCAAATGGAGTGGATCTCAAATATTCTTTTTAAAGTTCTCTTTATAAGTGAAGGTCTACCCAAAAAAAAGTGTACTTTAAAGGGCTGAGAGGCACTTTGAGCAGTCAATCCAGTTACAGAGAAGTGAGACAGTTTCATTAGCCAGGGATCGAGGCTAGGTGTGGAAGCTCAAGGGCTCAGTCCAGAGGGGTCCTGACACTGACTAGTCAATCTCAACCCTGAAAAAATGAAGCAGGTCCTCAAGGAATCCATTTTGAAGGAGTTAGCCAAAGTGAATGCAGAGGCACTAAATTCACGGGAATAGGGAGAGGTCCCAGATGACTAGAAAAGGGCAAATATGCCGCCCATCCTTAAGAATGGGAAGAAGGAGGATCCAGGGAACTACAGACTGGTCAGCCTCACCTCAGAAATCACTTCTATTAGGAGTGTTGCCCACTAATAGAAGGGATTACTAATAGAAGAAAGTGTTTATTCCCCCTAGTCAGCACTGGTGAGGCCACATCTGAAATACTATATCCAGTTTTGGGTCCCACTACAGAAAGGATGTGGACAAGTTTGAGAGAGCTCAGCAGAGGGCAATAAAAATAGTTAGAGGGCTGGGGCATGGAGCAGACCACAGTTCTGCCCCAGCCTTCCCCTGCCCTGTGCTATCACCACTGCAAGATCCTGGCCCCAGCCCCAGAGCAGCTCCCCGCCCAGCTGTGCAGCTCTGGAGCTGCGGCTGGGATCTTGCAGTGGTGACAGCGCAGAGCAGGGCTGGGGCAGAGCCATGATCCGCTACCTGCACGCTTCTGCAGGCCCACCGCTGCATCCTCTTTGGAGCCCCCTTCATGTAGTTAAAGGCTGATATTAAATCCCCCCTCAGTCTTCTCTCCTCCAGACTAAATAAGCACAGGTCTCTCAGCCTCTCAGAAGTCATGTGCCCCAACCCCCGAACCATTTTCACTGCAGTCTGCTGAACTCTCCAATTTGTCCACATCCTTTCTGGCACTGGCAATGTGTAGGAGGGTGCACATGCACCCCCTGAGATTGGCTGTGCACCCCCTGGAAGTGCCAGCCGCAGAACAGGCCC